GTGATGATATGGATAAACGTTTTGACATGTTAGGTTACCGTGACTCAAAGGGGCCAAATCCACTCAAATGGGCCCCACATCACCAATAAAGAAATGTCTTTTGATGACATGCAACCAAATCCACTCAAATGGACCCCACATCACCAATAAAGAAAGATATCTTTTGATGACATGGCAAATTAAGTGATATTTTTTATATTTTTTTAATAATGTAACAAATTAAATTAAATATTTACATGAATAAAAAATAATGTCAAATCAAATTTCATTAATTAATCATCATTAAACTATAATTATTTATATTAATCAAAATTGAAATTCTAAATTAGTTTATAATTAAATCACAATTTTCTCATCAAATTTTCTTTTTTTAACGGACATTATAGTTTTCTCGATAACCAATCTCGGCAACCAAACAGACTCAAAACATTTTCTCAACATCCAAACACCCAAACTATACAATTTTCTAGCCAAACAAATGGAAACCCACTAAGAATTGCTTTTTTACCCATTGGTCACTGCTTCTGTTATTTCCATCGCTGGCGATGTTCTTTCCATTTTGACATTGAAATCATTTAGACAATACTTAAGAAATATGAAAAAAAGGATCCCAAAAATCCCTCACAATCTGCAATTTGGATAATCTCTTCTCAAACAAACATATAACAAAAAGAAAAAAAGTGGAGTTGGGTTTGACAGAACCCAGCAGATCTGGGTTTGGTGGAACCCAGCAAATGGGTTCCATCGAATCTGAGCTGGGTTCCCTTAAACCCAGCAACATAGAGGAAGAAGAGGAAGAAAGAAAAGAAAGAAAAAGAAAAAAGAAAGGAAGAAGATGGATCGAATTTTTTAATTTTTTTATTAAAAATATAAATACTAATCAAATTTGATTTATGAGTTTGCACTGACCCGTCATTAAAAAAAAATTCAAATTAACACTTTTTAAAGTTGTTTTCGTCATGTCATCAAAAAAAATATAAAAAATGCCACATGGTGGAGTTAACTGTCTAAATTGACAAAAGTACTAACGATATGCATTTCTTAGAGTTGAGGGATCAAAAAAGTGCAAAAAATTATTGAGGGACCAAAAATGTGCAACTCACTAAAGTTGAGGGACCAAATTTAGCATTTAACCTTAATTTTAATAGATGAGAAGCTAAAAGTGTCATAATATAAGGTAAAGGGTTAAAATTTACAAATTTAGTAAGGTGAGGAGCTAAAAATGTCCTAGTACAAGGTGAGGGGCTAAAACCTTCAAACTTGGTAAGGTGAGGGCTTCAAAATAAGCTTTTGCCGAAAAGATGATGAAGTCAAAAGACAATGGAATCACAAAGAAGATTAGGGCAAGAGGTAGTCCGCAAGCAGAGCATGTTTTTGCCCTAATTGGAGTCAAAGTTTCAATTTAAACCCTTAATGCTTCTATACTTTTTTGTTATTTTGTGTCATTTTAAAGAAGCGATCGTTTCAACATTAAAGCACTTTTATCGCTTCACTTCACTTCACTTCAATCACTTTGGGATTGCTTCTTTTAAGTAGAGTGCTTTAGAAATTTTGAAGTAGTGGTGCTTCTAATCACTTCGCTTCGTCACTTTAAGCGATAAAGCGATCGTTTTTTACAACACTGCTTAAACGTAATAGCCCCTCACAAATTCTTTGGGTTATTTTATTTTATTTTATTATTAATTTTAGTATAATTCTGGGCCATCTTCAATCCTCCTTTTCATGCAATTGCACTCACATGTCCCTCTCCTTGCCACTCATCTTAATTTTCTCTTCTTCATTCTTTTGTTATGCATTTCCTCAATCGACCTCAGCTCTATTCAAACATACATCTAAAGCATTTAATGTCATTTTAGCTGTTTTAGTTTGCCAACTCCCTTTTTCCTTTCACGTGTCCCTATGTTTACTCTTTGACTCCTCCTTTGTTTAGCTTTTGCAAAGAAAATTTCCTTCTTCATGCTTCAATAGAAATTCAAAAATTGTTTCAGTTTTCATATAACAAAGATAAATTTGGGGTCTCAGACTTGCTATTAAACCTGACGTTTAATTCTTCAAATCATGTTATTTTCTAACATTTGTATAAATTGATTTTTTTTTTTTGTTAATTAGGCTTTATAAAGAGTTCTGTTTACAGCACTTTTTCCGATAGCGACTTATCTAAAAATGTAAATATATTATAAATATTTACTATAAATAATTAATTTTAATTAATATTCTTTGAATTTTTTGTAATTTTATTAAATATTTTATATATTTATACAATAAGAAAATACATAAAAACTTACACCACACCACAGCACTCCCATGCAAAGCCTAATGTAGAAATGCTTTTTGCTGGCATCTGATCTTTTGTTATAAGGCCTATAGCATTTGGTTGGACTTTAAAAAAACCAAGCTTAATAAGTCTACAAGTTCAAAACCTAGAATAAACCCAAGGTTTTTTTTACTGATCTTCTCAATCAATTTTACAGTTTTTGTTTCTCACAATCAATTTATAGAAATTATTTGTATATTAAATGATAAGATGCAAATTTTCCCACATTACATAAGAAGAATCATATCTTGTCACATACAGTTCAAAAATATAATCTGAAGGTCACTACCAACTGATGTAATGACAAGTTGAGTTCAAAGTTTTACATAATTTTCATTTTTAACTTTTTTTATGCAATTTAAAAATATACTTTTTTTAATTTTTTATTAAACGTGTATATTTAGATAAATTTAATAAATTAATTAATAAAAAATTAAAAAATATATTTTTCATAATCAATAAATCAAAAAAAAATACATAAAAGCATAAAAAATAAAAATTATACAAATAAACTAAAGAATTAAAATTAACATTTAACCTTTTAGGTTTTGTGGGACAAACCAAACTAAACTTGTTGAGTTCCCATTATCTACTTTCAAAAAAAAAAAAAAAAAATCAAGGACGTGTTGGTCTGAATAAGAGGGGCTCGATTTTTTTTAAGTAAAATTTTGAATTTAAATCTTATAAATAGAGAAATCGACGTTGAAAGAGTATTTTCCTAATGAGAGTTTTCTCCTAATGAGATCCGATGTGACTCGATTCTGAATTAATTAAAATTTAATGTGATTATCAGATACCAAGAAATTAGTATTAAAAAAAAAAAAAAAAAAAACCTCAAAAAAATTTGTTTTTAAAACTAGTGGAATCTTCGAACCAATGACCTTATGCCTCATCC